GGTGACGGAGAAGTGGTGGTGGAGGGAGAGGCGCTTGGCGAACTCGACGAGGGGGGTGAGGTGGCCGATTCCGGGGGTGGGGACGATGACGACGTGGGGAGCGTTGGGATGTGGTGTGTCCGCCATTTTTGTGTGTTTTATTGATGAGTAGTTGCAGAAAATTGGAACGGAAAAAATGGGGACGATATGTGGCTGTGGGTGTCACACACAAAAGGATTACGTTAAATAATGGAAGATAGCACAGTGAGATTGTCTTTATGGTCAAATTTTAGTATTTTACGTCGTCTTTCTTCTTATCGATCTGGTTGTTTCCTGAAGACAAATTAACATGTCAAAGTTGATTGAAAAGGTAAACATTAACCAAAATTATTTAAAAACATTATTTAATAAATATGAAGTGTAGAACCTTTATTGTTGTCTTTAAGTCCACATCTTATGCAATACTTTTATGGTGTCCATGTAATAAGTACAAGAAATATGTTTGGGTGCATAACTTTTTTTAATACTGACTATATTATTTTATCCTCGTGAGACCGAGACCCCGATTCGACTATTTAGCTTTAGATAATGGGGGACACTCCTTGCCTGTCACGTCATCATTTTTTCAATTTGTCCCAAAATGTCTACAATACTATCACACTCTCGCTTGTCTCTCTGTTTCTTTTGTATTATTTGATGGTATAAATTTGATCGGGTAAGTTTGACTAGATTTGAGCTAGCAAATCAAACTCTGCCTGGTAAAGAAACACGCCATAAGAACACAACAAAAATGATCTAGACCAGAAAAGAAATCTTGTGTCTGAATTTATATTCATTATTTTGTCTCAAAAGTGTACAAGTTTATGTGTATGAATGAATGTCTCCTCCTTCCTCTATCACAACCTATATTTCTATAAAAAAGGAGGAGGTCAAATAAGGTAATTAGCTATTACTCAGCCGTAAGCCTAGCGCCTGTCAACAACCATATCTTCCCCGTACAATTAGTTCATGAACGGTATTGACCTAGCCGGTCACTTTTCGGGGCAGGATCGAGTATAAGTTATATCCATCATTATTCATCATTTTAAACTCAAAATTTTTATGAATAAAAAAATATAAAAATAAAATAAAAACAATAACAAAGACACTCTTTATTTAAAAAAACACCGTAATAAAAGAAAAAATAAATTGAAACAAATACACCAAAATAAAATTAAAATAAAAAAAAGAAGGAAATGGAATTGAATGAGGAATAAATTAGAATTAGGGAATTGATGAATTTATAAAGTTTTGCTTTCCACGGGAAATGCCCTAATGGCTAAATCGCCCTAGCTTACGTAAATACAATGCATACGTTTTTATGGTGCAATTTTACCCCCTGTGTTTTCATTAAAGTCGTGTTTCTTCATATTTGGTTGTTTCTCAAGACATTAACATTTCAAAAAGTCAATTGAAAAAGTTAATTATTGCCCAAAAAAAATTATTGAAAGTTGAATGGCGTAAGTGAAATGTACACCTACACAACATTTGATTTTCCCACGTGATATTGTTAGGTTTGCCTACCGTCCAACTTACTTTTTTAATTCATTACTTATAATTATATATAATTACAACTAAATTAGATTAGAAGAGATTTTTAATAAAAATTTAGATCAAGTAGAGGGAACATATCCTTACTCTATTGAAACAACAAATGATCAAAAATTACTTTTTGAAGTTGAACATTATGAAATTTTTATGCTATATTATTATAGTTATTTTTTTAGATAAAAATAATACATATAGTGGAATAGTTTTTTATGTTACTAATGAGATTTTTCATGGTACTTTTTTTCTTCAATGATTTATATCTCATATGAAGAATTTTATATTATTTATGATAACCCTCCTGAGAGCTATGACAAGGAGGCCGCTTCATCATCCAAAATAATATATTTTCAATACTACCATAGAATCTTAAATAAGAAAAAGTCTAATGGTATTGTCAAATCCCAAAGCTCACATAGAGAGCTCCTTCACATCTAACTATCCCTTGTGCTTTGATGAAGAGATGGAACGCAACGCGTTGCAATGGTGAAGGTTTCGATAATCCATTTCCCCGGTCATGTTTATGTTCACGAAACAAGACCTATCCATTTCATTTACAATAGTTGCACGGGAATAAGAGTTCAGCTTGAATGGAATCACATTAACCAATTTTTGTTTCCAACTAAGTGTCATGTTACTTCACAAGCTCGTTTGCTATTAGGATTGGTTGTTAGCTCAATGTAAATAACAAAAAAACGGGTTATGTAAACGATTAACACTTTATACGGGTAGAAGCTATAACTATATAATGGAGTTAAAATTCCAAAAATAGTTCGTAAAAAAAAGGGCAACTCATTTTGAATAATTAAAATGAAGGTAGAAAACTAATATTTACCAAAAAGTATAAATGGAACAAGTAATTTGAAAGTGAATTACAAAGAGGGAGGGAGGGGGGATTTAATTTGCTTCTTCAGATCAGAGTCAAACTTTTATTTTCAACAAGTTGTTATGCAAGTGGAAAAAATAAATTTGGAATGATTATTTACAGTACACCAGAAGCAAATGCTACAAATGATAATGATAATAATAATAATGGTACCTCTCCTCTCTTGAGATGCATAGAAATGTGCAGCTAGCAAAGCCCATCTATAACCCAACATATGAAACCTATATATGCATGAAAAAAAAAAAGAAAAAGGCATCTTGATGGTGACTCAAATACAATCACACCATAGCAATCTCAATTTACCTCTTCTGGATAACTATTTGGCGAATCGGAGGACCAACCCTAAAGACGAGGCCCATTCTTTATTTTTGACTGTGGAAATAGCATTTCCATCATCAAATCATTCCAAGAATCAATCGGCCCGGGCAAGCACCAGTGGAGACAATCATTCTGAACCGCCAACGGGTGCGAATGCCTGTAGATTCCTGGGTGCCCGTCCGGCCTCAGCAGCGAAAGATACGTGGTGTCGAACAGCTTCATGCCCCCCACTCCCACATTCTTGGATCCCATCCCTAATGCCCACTCAAACTCTTCAACTTCTATCCTGTGCATCACCCCATCCATACTGCCCATTTCAACCTCCCCTTCTCTAAACGGCACCGTTCGGTTACAGTACCCGCCCGTGTCCCATTCCCCGTTCTCAAAGTGGTCCGGCGTCGTGGTTCTGAACAACACGTTCACTTTCTGCTGGTTTGATGAGCTCAAAATGTATCTGAGAGCCGAGCGCAAAGCTTTGCGGTACGCATAGTAAAACCCTACGTTTGTTATGTTGCTCTTCACACCACAGCTATGGCACCCCACAATCTCGCCTTTCTCGTAGTATATTGCGGGTTTTGTGTACCATTTGCCACCCGCGATGACGGCGTAGTCGAAATTCTTGAACTGTTGGGTCCACACGTTGTCGAGTTTGTCGAGGTGGAGACGGACTATATCCGTGGAAACCCCTTCGTCGTCTTCCGATATAGTGGCTTTTGTAAGGTAAGGAGACCATACCACTGAAAGAGTGAAGTTGTTTGCCGGGAAATGCCATCTCCTACTTTTGTATTGGTCGTCATGGTAGACCTCGTTTGCTTTTTCCTCCTGCATAAAAAGAAAACAAAATAATCCCATGCATATATACGAACGAGACCGGGGTAAAACCGATAAAAAAAATGGACACACTAATGGTATGTTTGATTCGGGGTGAAAAGAGAGGAAAATAAGCAAGAGATCCAAAATTTTCCCCAATCATTCCCTTCCCTCCAAACCGATGTTTTTAGGAAGTCAAAATTAAGACTAATTTGTCCATCAATTCCTATTATATTCTCTGGTAGAGGGTGTTATATTAAAGGAAAAAGGACTAATATATACTGTAATATTTTAAAATTAGTTTTGAACCAAACCAAACAATATCATTCATTTCTTTCCTCCTCCATCTCTTTCCCCCCATCAAACCAAACAATTAAGCTCTTTGGTTAGATCTTAGTTTTAGCAATTTCAAAAACCTAACCTACCAAAATGGATCTGGCCAAACCCAAACCGACATACCCACTACACACACCCCTAGCTAGACAAACCGGCCTAGGAGTAGGCCACCCGTTGGCCAATAGCCTAATAGAGTAATACTTATAGTAATAGTAGTACCCTTTTTCCAAAAATGGCCGGAAGCAATTCAGAGGCTAAAAAAAATGTAAATGAATCACTAGAAGACAATGGGAACCCATATACTCTATGGAATACTTCATCTAGAAAAGACAAAAGAGTCTCCAACTGGGGTACAGACAAAGACCACCCACCAGACATATTACTAACTTTGCCAAAGCAACACACCACTTGTCTTTTTCATTGGAAAATGCTACTCCCATGTGGGTTACAAGTGACACTCTGTGTCTGTGTGTGTGTCTGAATTATTTGTAATCGCACTTACTTAACTGTGCATTGACAGGTGGTATCAAATATGGGGCTATGAGATATTTTATTTCCCCAAAGAAATATTATTAATTATTAGAGAATAATCATGTCTAAAGCTAATGGCAGCTGTAAAGAGAAGATGCATCAATCAACTAATTAAAGAATATTAAAAAGAAAGAGAAATGAATTACCCATTCAGACAAAACATCAAACAGATATTGTGCATGTGGGAGATCCATACCAGTGAGAGAATGCAGAGCAGTGACTGAACATGGTTGCGCATGATCGAATCACCGATAAAAGCCATTGATTTGTTCTTCATGAGATTGAGGAACTTGCCGGGATTAAACCTGGGGAGTTCACAGCCACTGGGCTTCCATCTCCAGTGCATATAATCCGTGTCGGGTCGGCCGTTCTTCATGCAATTCTGGTGGGTTTGTATGGAATCGCAGGTCTCGTTTGTGTAGAATGGACCCTCATCGTCCTCGACCCAATCTCCCTTGAACAGATCACACTTCACTGCAAACCAGATCACATATGTTCATGCAACCAAAGATCATGAAATCCTCTTATGAATTCACATACCACAAATTGATAATTGGGCATCATCACATTATTCGAAGCTCTATTTGGTAAAAGTAACTAAAATCTATCAAAAGGACATAAGAAGATTCAAGAGATGATCATGAGGAATCTGGGCACGATCAGCAAGTATATCTATGAAACAGAGAGCCTGAACCGAATCAGAATCTGGGTTGACCCGAGAGTTGAACCCGGACCAGGCACTTCATGCATGGGCAGAAATTAAAAAGTTACCAGATTTAGGGGAACTGGGAATTAAGTTAAGTACGGGGTAATCAGTTCACTGACCCGTCTTAGAACGCAGAAGGTTGACGGGAAGGGACGGCGGCGATGTGTGATCGGCGGTGGCGGTGGCGGCAACAGGGTCGGCCGAGAATCGCGCAAAGGTGGAGAGAAAGGAACGGTAGGCAAGTCCCAGAAGCATAAAACAAGCAGCGAATTTGAGAAAGAAGCCGAAAGAGAAAGGCTTTCTGTTCATCATCGTCTTCATCTCTGGCCCCCCTGTTCTTTGTAAGGTTGAAATAAATATTGCCAGTATTGATCGATCAGTATGAATGTTATAAATCAATCCTCCTAAGCTGCTGCTGCTACTACTACTAGGGAGCAAATTATGATTTCGATCTTTCTCTCTAAAAAAAATAATAATGAAATGATTACGATATGATCACTGGTGCAGAATGAATAAGAGAGAGGGAAAGATGAAAACAGCTGGAGGAGGAGAGTTATATAGTGGCCGCATTCAATTACTGTAAGATTTAAAAGAGCTATAATTATTTACTGTGCTCCACTTATTTTGGCTCTGGTGGGGGTAGGGCACGCACGACCCACCGCCATCTACCTCTTGTTCCAAAAGGCTAACTCGATCGGGGCGTCCCTCACCCGTATTCGACCCGTTTGCGAGATAATATAAATCATGCATAATTCAACCGATAATAGAGGTTTGGAACCCTGCGCACAAGGAGCTCCCCTCATTCCCCATCTACCTAACCTTACTATAGTCTGTCCCAAAAAAAAAGATCATATATTGATTTTAGAGAGATTAAAAGAAGGATATGATTGTATCTGCTTCTTGATATTGAGGGTAAAATTGTCAATTTAATATAAAAGGTGTGAACGTAGCCAAAAAGCAACACCCTTAAAAAAATTATTTAAAAATGAAATGTAAATAGTTAGATTTTCTTGAAAAAGAGAGTCAGTATCCACATATTTATTACTCCGGTGTCAAAATAGAGAATAAATAAGTGTAAAATATTTTTATGAACATCTAAAAAAAGAATGCGTAAGAAATTTATATAAGAATGGAGAGAGAGTAATTAACACCTAGGCCAGCCCAACAATTTGGCTGCCCTTTTATATTTTGCTTTAGTAACAAGCCTACTCTGGGCCGAAGCCCAATACATAGGCTTGAGGACGGCCAAAAACTTTAAATAGCTTTAAATATATTTGCATTCATATCAGAACTTATTTCAATCACATCAGAACCAAGAAAACATGACCTAATTGTCTATATAATATAAAAATAGGAATTGATTTGCACCCTTTTTTACAAGAGAATTGATTTGCCCTTGGTATAACTAAAATCTTCAGTTGTTCTTAACAAGTAATACTCCCCACAACACTAAATTTCAATTTTTTTAAAAAAATAATTGTAAGATTTAGCAGTTTCATCATAATATAAATGATACTCAGTAGATCTCTTCTTCAACAAGTACTTCTGATCTGATATGATCTGCCTAAACAAAATCCAGAGTACTGCGGATATATTTACTCAACCCTGGCTTATAACATTCACATATAAAAATCTTAGGCATAATACATGCATGCTAAAGACCATCCTCTTTTCCTGCAGTGTTGTCTTTGGATCAACACCCATAATTACTACGGAGCAGAAATTACGTTGCGTTTTTCGGGACTTTCATGCCGAATCCACACTTCATTCTCTCAACTCTGTACACAAGTTTCAAAGGGACCGTGTTAAGGTTCGCGGACCGATATAATTAACTCTTGTCATACAGATATCAGAAAATGTGGCAGTAACTTACGTCGGAGCGAGCTTGCCCAGGCTCTCAAGCTCTTTGCCAGTATCCTCATCAAGCACTCTCCCAGAAATTTCAATGATATAAGACCGGCCTTTCAAATCCGGGAGCCCTCTGCTGCACAGTAATTGCAAGTCTTTGTCATGGAGCTCTCTCCCATTCACAAACACACCCGTGTTTCCACCCGTGCAGTTTTCGGGCATGGGATAGTTAAATTCTTCAATGAACGGCTGAAATGAAATGGGCGGGTTTTAATTATCAGAATTCACAAGATATTACCAGCTATAACCATGCTGCTTTTTTTTTTGAATGATATGTCTTACAGGAATTATGCCAAGACAAGGACCTCCCATCACTCCCCAAAATCCAGCACGAAAGTCATACCTGCGACATGATTAGAGTTTTGTGAGCAAGACATGCATATATTACCACTTGAATTATTGTTTTTTTTCCTTGTTTAATTGTTCTTTCAAACTTGTCCTAAACAATTTTGTTTTAATAGGAAAGAAATCTACCACGAATGAACTTACCAGTATTGTCCGGGGCTAATTTTTCCCGCTGACCTTTCAGCTTTCTTGACTAACTCATCCGAAATACGATGCCCATTCACTATGACATCGCCCCTTTTCTCACCTAGGACGACCTGCTTATTGGACTTGAAACTTTTTTTGGCAATGGCAAAAAATGATCCATTGGGTTTGTTGGAATTGGTCTGGTCTCCCATGCTTGATTCGCCCGACTCTAAAGATGATCCAGTGTTAGCATACTCATTGGATGATATGTCCATCTCAGATGCCACCGGTACATCCTTCATGGAAGATTGAGATGAAAGGGTCTTCTTCTTTGACCTCATTTTTTCTGGACTTGAGGGCCCACTCCCATTCCCAATCTTGAACCGATTTGCATTGCCATACTTGGTCGAATAATCAAAATGATCCTGCAATGGTGACCCCACAGGTGGGGGCGGTGGTGGTGGTGACACTTTCTCCTTAAGGGACAACTCCGTGGAGCTGATATCTTCTGCGTTCATGGAAGAAGATTTGGAATGACGGGTCCTACCCTCCATTGATCTGCGATCTTGATCCATTGCATGGAAATCATATCCGGAATTGTCAAAATCTTCAGAGGAGAAAACAGTAACGGGACGGTTCATCGGGTCTCCTGTCATATTATCATCTGATGAAGCAAACATGTCACTGTTTTTATTGACTTGTCCGTGAATAGGAACGAGTCTCATATTACGCACTTCAAAATCCATCACACAAGAGCATGCCCCACATTTCACCTTCATTTGTTGATTATCCCTTAGAAAAGCTCTCTTATTAGACAAATGAAGCAACTCCAAACAACTGTGGCAAACCAAGAACGGCGCGGCTCCAGCCACAGGGAGGCACCGTAGTCCACTGGGTTTAAGGGCCCGTTTCCTAATAGGAAGAGGACCTGAAATTCTGGGGTCATAATTATGTAGACCAGACCTGCCTAAATGATCATGGTCATAAAAGTAAGGATTCTTGTGGGAGACATCATGGAACCTGTCAATCCCAATGGCAGGTGGAAGCACGCGGACAACATTTTGGCTTGTATTGTAGCAATGGAAGCAAGAACATGATGGATGATGAGGTGGAGGAGGATTAAAAACAGGACCATAAGGTTGAAAACCAAAACTTTGTGGATAAAAACCATGGCCTGGTAGGATTTTGTGCCTACCCGCGGCAGGATATTGCGCAGAACCAAACCGATCATGGGAACCACCGTAGGGATGATCCTGATAAACAATCTTCCTGTCGAGAGGGAGCCTGTCCTTGGGATTATCAACAATTTGACAAGATCGACTCAACTGTTCTTTCAGATCTTCCAATTTCCTCATCAGCTCAGCTCTGTCATCCTCAGCATATTCAACCTTGGAACTGCCCCCTCTGTCCCCTCTCCTCTGTAGTGGTTGATAACCATAATCACACCCTAACTCGTAACTTGACGAAGCATCAATGTCAAATATCCGGCCTCTATTGGGACTGGCTGATATCCTTGCCTCCCCCCATCTCCTGCCTACACAACGATCTGGTCTTTGCAACTCATTTTCACTTCCACATTCGGGAATCAAATTCTGAAGGGGTTCCCCATTTTTTTCTTGAATTTGTTCACCACTAATCTTAGATTTGTAACTCTCAACTCTCCTCTCAGACATAGCAGAAGAACTACCTGCATTTGACTTCACATCAATCTCAGAACTATCGCTCAAGTTTTCCACTTTCTCAAACCTCTCAGAAATCCCCAATTCACCTTCTTCACCAGACTTGTCTGGAAATTTCTCCAAACCCTCAATTTTTTTCTTAGCTGTAACATTAATGCCAAGAGAAAAACCATCAAATCCATGAAAATCAAGAAAAAGAAAACACGAACTCCATGTTTAAAGAATCTGAAGTTCCTGCTCCGAAATCTCAGATGAAACAGTCACACAAACCATGGAATCAGAACCCAAAAAAAAAGAAGGTTTTTATGCACGAAAACTTACCTCGTAAGACAACGCCACATCCGCCACACTGGTAAACGGAGAAGCCAGTGACCTCTGGGAGCAGATTTGCGCAATTGGGGCAACGAACCAGACGCACTTTAGGTGGTTCGGACATCTTCAAATGAAGCTGAAACAAGGTGCTGAAAACTGAGCCTTGAAAGAAAGAAGAAGAAGAAGAAGAAGAAGATACAGCATAATCACCGCATCATATGTTCTATCAATCCGCGCATCTAACAATCATAATGGGTATCGCGGGAGAAAATGAAGGTGCAAGAACATCAACTGGGGGGGGGGGGGGNGAGTTGAATTCTTGTCTGTTTAGGGAGAGCAGGTGAAAGAAAGAAGACCAAGATGTATAGCAATGAAGAAAAAAAATCACCTTAGCTTTCACATGCTGGGTCGTGTTTAGTTTGGTGCACACCAATCATCAATTTGACAAAAAAATATGTCTACCACCCAACATGCACATTAAATTTTACAAGTGCTAAAAATTTTATTTGGGTAAAAACATTGTTCTTTTGACTTATTTTTACTTGCCCGTCAAACAGTTAGATACAATTTGGCAAACCATTCTTAGGGTTGGATAGTTGGCTATTAGTGTTCGAAAAGCCAAAAAATGAAAAACTAGATAGAATAATGTTTTGAGCACGTTGTTGTGCGAAATAGAATATATTTTAATTATTTATTCTATAAATTAATAAATAATACTCCCTCCGTCCCACTGTCTTTGTCTACTTACCTTTTGGCACACCATCCAATGCACTTCTTTAATCCATTTTATCTTGTAATTTGTACTCCCTTCGTCCCTCTGTATTTGTCCACTTTCATTTTTGCACACCATCCAATGCACTTTTTTAATCCATTTTATCTTGTAATTTGTATATTAAAAAATTATAAAAATTATATATTAATAATCTATATGTTAAGAAAAATCAAACAAGATCACACATGACTATATTTAGGCTTACACATTGAGAGAATTTGATGACTCAAAGTGTTTAGATGAACAGTTCCAAAAGTCAAAAGTGGACAAAGACAGTGGGACGGAGGTAGTACAAAGTAAAAGTAACTAGAGAATGGCACTAGAACCGGACCTTTATACTCATTATATAAATTATATACCTCCTTCTTCGGGAAGTATTTTTTGGTGGTGGGGATATGGTGGAGCAGAAGTCATTATTAGAACAAAAGAATAAGGTGGCGGTCGTCTGAGTACAGCTTTCCCCTCAACGAGCAATCCGACTGAAGAGTTGAAATTGAAGAATAGCAAAAATTGAAGAACAGCATTGTTCACCGCAACAATGGAGGATTTGGATTTTAATCCTAGGCTTTTCATCTTAATAGATCTTATCTTATTCCGGAGTGGATACGATTATCTGTTTCCCCAGTAGATGTTTGAAAGGAAAGGGCGTTCTGTGTGATTTTTCCCGGCCAGTTCTCGCCCATGGAATCAGCTTAAATGAAATCCGCCCCCATTAGATCTTTGAAAGGAAATGGGCACCACACTCAAACTAATAGCAGTTGTTTCTATTAGTCGCTTTGCCACTTTGAATCGCCAAAGGATGCTGGGTTTGGTTGTTCCCTACTTCCTCATGAACCATCGTTTTGTCCAACCACAAGGTACTACTGGATTTTACTATATTTTTCATTATTCTTTCTTTTTCCTTGTGTCTAAATTACACACAATGGTTCATGCCAACCAGATAATTAGAAACCCCAAAAATGATATTTCAAACACTGTACTTGCTAGGAGTGTGTGAGCTTAATTTGAATCCTCAGAGCACACGTAACAATGGGAAGTGTCTGTTGGCATTAGGAGTTTCAACTCCTAAACGAAGGGGAAAAAATGTTAGCAATTTTAATTCCTATATCTGAATTCTGGAACTATGGACTTCAGCCAACTTAAATGCCAAAATAACAAAAAATATGGCTATGTTACTCTCTAAGCTTTATCAGACCCTATTATAATGTTGGCATTTCTTAGCTGAGGCCACTTGTGGATGAAATAGCTAGGTTGGATTAATATCTTGCAAGTAGCAATGTAAGGAGGCTAGGGGAGCTCAGAATCTGACATGTGACCAGAAATCCTTCGTTCTCTTGGGCTCATAACCATCAACTGACTCTCAGAGTTCATTCTCTTAGGGCGTCCATATCGGCTCATATGCGGAGGCCTGACTGAAGTGACAGAACGTCCCATTGGTGTTCCTAATCATGTTCAAATCACAGCAGTGTTAGCTCTATAGGCATGCAATAAGTTGATTGCAATGTTTTTCAAAATGTTTTACTTGATGTAATTAGGTATCTACTCAATCAAAACTGGAGACCTAGGATGCTTCACTTAATGCAATTGATTTTCTAAACACACCTGGCTGTTTGCTTGATTTGATGTCAACAGATTTCTTTGATATTAAAAGCTTTTTGCTCAAAACTTTTGGTGAACCGAGAGACTTTCTCTCAGTAGGTGATGGGAGTGGGTCTTCTGCAATCAAACCATCATCTCCACAAGCTGAAGCATCACTTCCCGATTCAGAGTTATTTTCCCCGGCTGATTTTTCCCTTTCTGCCATTTTATATGCAAACATTTGGAAAGGGATCTGCGTTACTTGCAATGGAATTTGTGCCGTTCTATTTGCAAAGAAAGCATCACTGTAGTCTAACGGCGGCATGGGTGAATCTGGCTGTTGCGTGTGTTCTGGGTTCAGAACCATGAACCGTTTTATGTAGCGAAGGATCCTGCAGATGGATGAGAATCCTGGCCGTTGGTTCGGATCGGCATGCCAGCACTTCTTTGTTAGGCTTGTCAGATACTTTGGCAAAGGAAAGGGGAAGAGAGGCCTCTCCCCCACCCTTATGTTTCTGCTCATTTTCTCTCCTTGGAGATGCCCGTCTTCAAATGGGACCTTCCCTGTCAACACCTCAAAGCAAATCATCCCAAAACTGTACACATCAGACTTCTCTGAGTACTCTTCTGGCTCGGCGAGGACTTCTGGCGCATGCCAGATATAACTGAGTGAGCTTTGCTGATTAGAATGTGTTTTCCGAGTGTGGCTTACGCCAAAACCGGAAACCTTAGCGTGCAAGTAACCTTCCACGTGGGGACTTCTAGCTTTTACCAGGACATTATAAGGGTTTAAATTCCCGTGATTAATCTTCTTCGAATGGAGATATTCCATGCCCCTTGCAACCTGAAGCATCAAGTCAACTGCAGCTGGGAGAGAAAAGGGGACCCGTTTCTTCGGACCACAAACCTCTTTGATGTAACTGGATAGGTCCTTGATCATGAGATCCATGATAAAGAAACACTCTTTCTTCTCTTCATCCGTGAAGCCACAGAATGTTTGCAATACGTTTGGGTGTGAGAGAATGAGTTCGCGAGAGATTTCTGAGACGATTGGTTCAATGTCACCGAAAAAGTGTCTCAGACAGAAGCTCTCGCCCAACCACTGAACCTCCTTGTATTGGCTATCGATTTCCAACCGCCGCCTCACGTGGTAGTCTTTGGACCCGATTAAAGCCGCGCAAGGCACCAGTTTATCTGGTGGTGACGATGGGTCGACAACTTTTAAGTTCCTCAAGAGGAGATCGGCAAGTCGCTGCTCCTGCTTCGACGAAACTTTCCTCTCCTGGACTTTTGTTTTCAGGACCCATCTGTCCTCGTTCCACGCCGAGTTTATCCGAGTGCGGAAGTCTGGAGAAATCAGGTACTCGTTCCCGAATCTCCAGTTAAAGATTCTTTGGTCTTTACACTCCTTGAGATACTTGAGTGCGCAAACAGTTCTCTTCTTCTGGATCTCGTCGTGGTCGAAACCGGAGACTTCTCCAGCCATTTCGATGGCCTCAATCACAACAGAGAAGCAGGAGAGAAGGTTGTGGATGTGGAATTCTACGCAGTCGGTGTTCTGGTACAGGGTTATGGCTTTTGCCCAGAAATCTTTTGCGTCTAAACAGTGCCTGACGTACATTTCGCCCTCTCTGAATACCCTGAGGAGCTCTCTCAACGGGGCTTCCATAGCTTTCCACTTGAAATTCCTCTCTTCAAATCTGAGGTTCTGTTTCATCAACTCCGCAGTTGTGTTGTACGCACAGGTGAGCATGTCCACCAATAAACAGCATTGCCTCTGGTTCACCTGTATGCAGTCTTGGAAAACCATTAAAGCCTTGATGCCTCCTAGCGCCTCCCCGATCTGCCTGAATGGTTCCATCTGGAAATCGGCATTAAAGGTAATGAATCGGTCTGGATTTGATCCATTTACAATTCTTTTTTTCAAGGGCTGATGAATGAATGAATGAATGAATGAATGCACATTATGGTTTTATTATCATTATTATCATCAAACAAAAACTCACCAATAGATGATGGCCGGAAGCATGCAGAGATTGTGTTTCTCTCCTGATTTAGATGGATCAGTACTGGGAAGAAAACCAGATTCTTTTCTTGAAATGCAGAAGAGCGCCGTAGATCAAGAGTGAGTATGAAACAAACACACACTCTCTCTCGATCTCTTTCTCTCTCCAAACACAATCCAGTGAAGATCTTGGAAAAAAGAAATTTCTCTAAATTTTGGTTGTGTTAGATTAGATTAGATTTGATGATCATATGAAAAGCAATTTCTACAAAGTTTGCAGTTTGTGTATTCCAATACTCCGTGGAATATATTCCATCTCTACACATGTATTTCCCATTAACACTTTTTATTTGCTTCTCGGGTGGATTTCCTATGACATTGAAACCTCATGTCATCTGAGGGCGCTCCGGTGTCCTGTTCATAAAATTGACAATTCTTACCCCCTAATTCCCGGTAAACTCCCTACCCCGCCCCGACCCGAATACACCCTCCACCTCCTTCAATTGCACCCCACAAATTGATTTTAGACTTTTACTACAAAGTCAAAATCAACTTGTGGGGTGCAATTGAAAGGGATGAGGGTGTGTTTAGGCCAGGGCGGGTGAGAGGGTTAGAGGGGTATGAATCATTAATTTTATAACGGACACCGGAGCGCTCTCAGGTCATCCCATGACATTGCCGGATAATGTCATGGGAACCGTCCCCTTGTTTCTCATGAGTACATACATTTGGGTGTTCAATATTTTTGGTACATTATATTTACTTGAATACTCATTTTTGAGTAACACGATTCTCATTTTTTTAGCACAACTAAATTTTAGAAAAATGAGTACTCATTTGCTCGAATATAAGTATTCCATTACTCGAAAATGAGTAATCAATTGCTTGTAAATGAGTACTCGTCATGGATGTACGGTAGACATTGTACAATCGATTGTACGGTATATATTGTGATCTCTCATAGATCTTTCTATTACTTTTTTTAGTATTTAAAATACCAGAATTACTCTCGCTTTATTTACTCCCTCTGCACCATTTTAAATTGGCTTTTTCATTAAGGGTATTTCGGTAAACTCATGCATGTTTTCAATTCTTCTTAAAACCACAAAAAGTCAAACAAAAAACATCTTAGGAGGCCGAGAGAGCAATTAAACACAAATAAGTTCTACTTATTATACTCTAAACTAGCTCGGCATGCATGCACTACGTGCATGGGTGCCCAGTTTGAGTTATTGTTTTTTATACATAAAGGTGTAGAGTTGGATACTTACAGGGTAAGTATTGTAAGTATTATAAATAATAGTGAGTACTATGACAGAAAGAGTTTGGTATTTACAACTAAAACAGTCAAAAAGGGGTTATGTAAGCATCTAAGATACGGAGTATTACAAAAAACAAAGAGTTTGCAAAAAAGAGGTGTTTCACATATTTCATGTTATTAAAATTGCAGGTTGTTGGGATTCCTCCAAGTCCCACACCGGATGAGTAGGAGTAAATGAACCAAAATATATAGGTTCACCCAACCCCATTAGTATGAGGCCTTTTGGGAAGTGCCCAAAAACAAATTCGTGAGGGCTTGGCCTAGAGTGGACAATATCATACTAATGCGAGGTTGGGGGGAGGGCACACGCGGTCCCAACACAGGTGTACGTGTTTGTTTCCAGCATGCGCAGCAGCTTGAAAGTCATGTGTGAACAATGTGAAGGTGTTTGCCCTTGTGGTCTATTCTTTGTGCAGGTGGCCTTTTATGGTGTGTTTTTTTTTTGGGAAGTTGGTGAAGAAGTATACCTTTTTGTAGTGATTCAATTATGATTCTCATAGTGCAGGCAATGTAAGTTAACTCCTTCCTTCAATATAGTAGTAGAAACCTTGACAGACTCCAGATCATTTGTGACACGTCCTTCAATCTAGAAAGTTTGTGCCCATTAATGAATGTGTAATTGAGTATTTGTTTGAATTAGGCATATATATTCCAATTCTTGCACTTCAGAAATATTTCAAGTGGTTCTTGATACACGGAGACTATGTAATTTTATTAGCAAGGAATTGGAGAAATACAATTAATCAAATACAGATTGTTAATATGCATATGATAAAGAGTAAGGTATAATTGCATAATTGGAAAAAAAACTGAATTTAACTGAATCCAGAGTACACCTACAGAATTTTTTAGAACTCTTCTTCCGAAAACAATTCGGGAGGTTGAAGAAATGAAGTAATAGGCTGTACTTTTTCATACAAATCTTGAGGCCAAGTAGATAACATGTATGCACTTATGTTATCTTTCAAGATCTTAGATAGGTTGATAAGAATGGAGACAAAAAAATTGATGAGCAGATACCTTCTCGCCACGCAATTCAAGTGAAATAAAATTGAATTTGAAATGACTAAATTGGTATTAGACCATACCGTTTTGCTTATCAACAAAACGCGGCATTGTTTTTTCTACAAAATGATTTGACATGTTACCTACCTAACGTGTTCAACCTTGCGATAAGTCGATAATGGTGTAACGCCTTATAATATAAGGCGGAGAATAGTTCGAAGACACCTACCTAATGAGTTCAACCTCTTGTTGCTTTTAAACATTTTGTAATTGTTCAATAGCTGTTAATACTTAGGGAAAATATCTATCATCGATCCTTCTTCACTGAAACATACAAGCTCAATTACACGTACTACCCGTACCCTAGCCATCCCGCCCAGCACCCAAAACCAACCCAGCCCACCCAGTTCCCGCCACCCATCCCCTCCCAGCCCCGTCCCTCAACCCACACCGAGGCCAACCCCCCACCCCGACACAGTCAGCCCCACAAATCAACCTCACTCCACTCCCACACCTATCCAATTTGCCAGCCTCTCCCCCACAATGACAAGTCCCGAATCATCACCAATCCCATCTCCCCCACCATTACCCAACAGGCACCCCATGACCACTCGTGCACGAAGTGGTATCTTCAAACCTAAACTCTACTCCACCTCCTCTACCTCTTCTCCACCCACCACAGAGCCTGTTACCTATAAAGATGGGAGGGTTTTGTCAATAACCACAGTTCCTATGGATGATGAGTATAAAGCCTTGATTGATCAGCAAACATGGGAGCTTGTTCCGGCACCTTCAGATCGGGTTCCTATTGGATGTAAGTGGATTTATAAAATTAAGCATAACTCTGATGGTTCTGTCTCCAGGTACAAGGCCCGTCTTGTGGCCAAGGGCTACACACAGGAGTATGGTTTGGACTACTCTGAGACTTTTAGCCCTGTGGTCAAACAGCAGACTATTCGGGTGGTTCTTTCTCTAGCGGTCAATCACAACTGGCCTCTTCATCAATTGGATGTCTCCAATGCTTTCCTTCATGGTGTCATTCCTGATGAAATTTATATGAAGCAGCCTCCAGGATATGTAGATCAGCAGTATCCTCATTATGTGTGCAAACTAAAGAAATCTCTTTATGGGCTGAAACAGGCACCCCGGGCTTGGTACCAGCGTCTGTCAGGGTTCCTTGTTGACTATGGCTTTGGGAAAAATGAACATGACACCAGCTTCTTTAATTTGTTAGGCACTCTCCCTCTGGCATTCTCATTGTCCTTCTCTATGTTGATGATATTATTGTCACTGGCAGTGCCTCACCTCTTATCTCTTCATTCATCGAGGCTATGCAAAAGGAATTTCAAATGAAGAATCTTGGCCCTCTTCACTACTTTCTTGGTCTTGAAGTCACACGCACAAAGGATCATCTGCTTCTATCTCAGGAAAAATATGCTCGTGAACTTCTTCATAAAGCAGGAGTCGAGGATTGCAAATCGGCCCCCACGCCCCTACCCGTACGGCAGCCCGAGGAGGGGGTGAGCCGTCCATTCGACAATCCCACCTTTTTCCGGAGTTTAGTTGGCTCTCTCCCATACTTGACAAACACGCGTCCAGACATTCAGTTTGCTGTGAATTATGTTTGTCAAAGGATGCATGCACCTACAGAGCAAGATTTTCAGTCCTTGACACGCATCCTGCGATATGTCAAAGGAACCATTGATCATGGCTTGGTCTTTCGGTGAGGCCCACAGACCATCTATGCATATTCTGATTCTGATTGGGCCAACGATATGACAGATGGACGGTCCGTTACAGGTTACATGATATATCTTGGCTCTAATTTACTCTCTTGGAGTATGGAGAAACAAAGTTGTGTCTCACGCTCGTCCACCGAAGCCGAGTACAGAGCCCTATCGGCCGCAGCAGTTGAGGTGATGTGGCTCACCTATTTGTTTGACATTTTACAAATCAAGCTCCCTCCTCCACATCTTCTATGCGACAACCAGTCCACCATCTGTCTGACTAAGAATCCAGTCTTCCATAAGCGCATGAAACATGTCGGAACGGATTGCCACTTTGTACGAGAACAAGTAATTGCAGAGAAAATGACGGTTTCTTATGTTCCTTCTAATGAGCAGCTGGCAGACCTTCTCACAAAAGCTCTTGCCTCGCCACGCTACACTGCATTGGTTGCCAAGCTTACTCTCGTTTCACGGCGTTCAACTTGAGGGGGGATGTTAGACATATATGGAAAGAAGTCTAGTTATAGCAGAATTGTTATTTATGTTAGTTTACTTATTTGGTGAATCCTAGTCCATGTAGGGATCCTCACCTATATAAACATCCATGTACACAATTATTTCTTAAGAGTGAATTCATAAATCAACATTTAATATACCAATATTTTGGGCTGCCAACTTAGCAGAATATGTGGCATTTTAAATGATGACTATAAATTATCAAGTAAGTACTTAGTAACTATGAAGTGATATTAAATTAAAACAAAATAATATTTCAGACAGAATAATTTTTAAGTACATCTTTAATAATCAAATTTATATTCCTTCTAAAGATCTTTAAAATATAAATTCTGGACTGTTTCAACTTTAAAACTCTCTAATTTTTTATTTGAAACACTATTCATAATTTATCCGATCGATTAAAATATAAATACTTTATTTTTCAATTTTACCACATTTTTATTTCAAATCAACTTGGAGCGTTTTCCGGCCAACTCCGGCGAAATTGACGGCGGGCACCAAGGCCAATGCGGTCGTGGCATCCGGGCGACCTCCAAGGACCCCTCAATTGCAAGATTTGATGAAGATTTGCAAAACCCCCAATTTTGGATCCAATTTCGAATTTTAGGGATTTTTCGAGTAGAAAAATTCAGATTCGAGAAGTTACAGGCCAAATTAGACAAAATGGTTTGGATATTATTGATCCTCGTCTCAAGACGAAGAGAATGACATTGGTCCCGCCGGAATCGGAAAAAGTTCATTTTCCGGCGACTTTGACCGGCGGGCGGCGGCGGCGGGGCGTGGAAGAAAAGAAGAGAAGAAATGGGGTCAAATTGAAAATTTTAAAATATATAAAATTCGAATTTGGCCCTAATGACCGGAAGTTAACCTAGAAACGGGCTAATGGCTCATTAGTGAAAGGATTGTGTAAGTTCAGGGATTTTTGTGAAAGGATTTGAAGTTCAGGTACCACTTCGAAATTCCAGCTAAAGTTCAGGTACCATTTGTGAAATTTACCCNAACCCCCAATTTTGGATCCAATTTCGAATTTTAGGGTTTTTTCGAGTAGAAAAATTCAGATTCGAGAAGTTACAGGCCAAATTAGACAAAATGGTTTGGATATTATTGATCCTCGTCTCAAGACGAAGAGAATGACATTGGTCCCGCCGGAATCGGAAAAAGTTCATTTTCCGGCGACTTTGACCGGCGGGCGGCGGCGGCGGGGCGTGGAAGAAAAGAAAAGAAGAAATGGGGTCAAATTGAAAATTTTAAAATATATAAAATTCGAATTTGGCCCTAATGACCGGAAGTTAACCTAGAAACGGGCTAATGGCTCATTAGTGAAAGGATTGTGTAAGTTCAGGGATTTTTGTGAAAGGATTTGAAGTTCAGGTACCACTTCGAAATTCCAGCTAAAGTTCAGGTACCATTTGTGAAATTTACCCAGTTAAAAAATAAATATTTAAATACACAAATAGCAAGTTTATGTATTTTACAATCGAAGTATTTGTGATTCTAGTATTTCTTTAAAAATTACCTAATTATCTGGGATAATTAATTAGACTATTCATCAATTACTCCCTCCGTCCCCCTGTATTTGTTCACATTTGACTTTTGGAACTGTTCATCTAAACACTTTGACTCATCAAATTCTCTCAATGTGTAAGCCTAAATATATATAGTCATGTGTTATCTTGTTTGATTTTTCTTAACATATAGATTATTAATATATAATTTTTATAATTTTTTAAAATACAAATTACAAGATCAAATGGATCAAATAAATGCATTGGATGGTGTGTAAAAATGAAAGTGGACAAATACAGGGGACTGAGGGAGTACTTCGTAAAAAAGACTTTTGGGACTTATTATTCCCATGGATTATGCTATGTGTACCCCAAGTTTTTTACCCCAATTTGTATCCCGCAGTTTTGCACCAACACTTTGTGTTGGTGTAAAACTAATTTTTGTTAAACGCACCAACATTTGTGTCCGTGTGAATTTTTATTAACGCACCAACACTTGTGTCGGTGTAAACCATCGAAATGTTTGTGCAAACCTGTGGTGTACAAATGTGGTATATTTTTTAGTGTAAGTATAGCATGGTCCTATTCCCATATCCGATATAGGGGTAGTTTTTGACAAATGTCGCGCCTTCATCAATGGGGGGAATTCGTCCCTGCTTGCATCATCATCGCATGTGGGCCACAGGCTACAAAATTATTTTTCTATAAATATGAAAAACTTATTTTTAAATTTAATGTAAAACTTATTTTTAAAGTTCAATCTAATAAATAAATTATATTGAAAATGAAGTTAGTTTAAAAATGTAAACTGAAGCTAATTTAATGTAAAACTTATTTTTTTAAAGTTCAGTCTAATAAATAAATTATATTGAAAATAACGTTAGTTAAACCATGTAAACTGAGGCTGGCGATTTAAGTGAGACAGAAAGGGTTTTATTTAACTTATCATCAAGTGTGTGTGCAAATATATATACTCCATCAGCCTCAGAGTATTTCTCACGTTTTGACTTTTTATAATCAATCAGAGGTGACATTTTTCTTATAGTTAAATAAGAATTACATGGTACGAAATATATTAAATCTAATAAATTTATTTGTGAATTGATGTCTAATATAAATTTCATTATACTAATGTTCAAAATTTATCAATTTTGATTGTAAAAAAAAATTCTCTATATAGGTGTGTGTATGTATATATATATATGGACAAACCGACCTTGTTCTTTAATGAATTAAGACTTGATAAGTAATTGTATTCAGATCAAAATTAATGATGTTGAACTTGAAGCTCCAATATTATCCTCTCTCCCATCGTCCATGCCTTTTAACTCTCCTCTTAATAATATCATCAATAATGCCTCTCGATTTTATTCGCTGCGAAGTGGGCACCGCTAGCTCGTACGCCCCGCCATTCTTACGTAAGTCAGTTAGTTCATATATATAGTTCGTCATACAACACATATATGTGTCATGTCGTGTGTGTGTGTATATATATATATTATACACACACATTGAGACAGACATACACATTATGTATTATTATCGGGGATTTGTAATGTCAAGTTGTGTGATATCGTGACACCAGTGGTTTTGGGATACCTACGACGCTTCGTTCGTAAAATTGATAGTTCCTACCTCCCTAAACCCCCTCACAACCCATCAATTTCACCCAATCCCCTGCACTCCCATAGATCGCCTATTTGGAGAAATTGATGGGTTGGGGAGTTTAGGGAATACGAACAATCAATTCTACGAACGGAGCATCGTAGGTGTTTCGAAACCAGTGGCGTCACGAAGTGGTGTTATTTTTGTTGGGCTGACATTAGGGTATATATTATACGATGACAGCCACGGCTTGTTACGGAAACGATCCCGGGCAATTTCCGTCAAGTAATCTGTTTGGAGCAGCAGGAGATGGGGTATGGGATAACGGGGCAGCTTGTGGGAGGCAATATTTGGTGAAGTGTATAAGCGCATCCACACCGGGGACGTGTGTTCCGAATCAAGTCATTCAAGTTAGGATCGTCGATTTTGCACTACAACTGCCTTCCCCCGCAACAGAGGGTGGCACAACCATGGTCCTCACCGATACCGCTTTTGGCACTATTGCAAATCTATCCGCCACTTCCATTAACATTGAATTTCAACAGTAAGTTTTCCCTTGTGTGTGTGTCTATATACATATATACTCTCTCCGTCCACAAATAAACTTTACGTTCACTATTCACAGGATCAAACTCTATTCACTTTGTTGGCCTATTTTTGTCACCCATTTGATAAAATAATATAGTCATGTCACCTCTAGTTCTGTAGATCTTTTAATATACTCCCTCCGTCCCTTATAGATCTTCTCAATAGCCCTTTTTCTTTGTCCACAATAGATCTTCTCATTTTATTTTTTAACAATCAAAATACCATAACTACCCCCACTTACTTTATTTATTACACCTCACCCACCTCATTTAATACACTCCACCCATATTTCATTAAGGGTATTATGGTAAACTTTCACTTTTTTTCAACTCTCCTTAAAAACCACCAAAAGTCAAAATGAGAACATCTTAGGGGGACGGAGGGAGTAATTTTTTTAATATGCACTTTTTATTTTTAAAATTCTACACCATTTTTCATATAAAATGATAGTCAAACATCGTAACGCGCAATGTAAAGTTTATTTGTGGACGGAGGGAGTATGAGGATGCTTACTTTCTGAGCTTATCATCATTTTTCTTAATTAGTAAGACTAGATAAAATCAGGTCTAATCAGATCAGAACAAAAATAGCTTTAAACATAGTTACAATCCGAATAGATTAGATCCAATCAGATCTCATAAGATCAGATCTAACTAGATCAGATATGATATAATTTGATCATATCTGATCAGATCACATGAAGTAATCAAAAATGACTTCAGATCAGGTGAACAGAATGGGATCTAAATGAAAGAAATTTTTTGTAATAAAAATAATGGAAATAGTGAGTCTTTTGAAAAAAAAGGATAATCTAACTCTCGATCCATGCAAATTGTGTAAGAATGTCCATATTTCTTGGGTGCATTTTACAAAGTTCTTAACTGAGATACAATTGCTTCATTAAGCAACTCTATTGAAAAATTATGCAACTGGTGCCCCACATAAGCCCCACATCAACTTTTTTAGCTAAATCAACTCCTTAAGCATCTTGCACTAAAGATGCTCTTAGAGAATCTTTAATAGTGAGTGCTTAATGAGTTACTTAGTTTAAGCAATTGCATCTTATGAAAAGCCCTCATTAGAGCTAATCTAGGTGGCATGCAAAGTTGCTTACATATAATTAGCACCGTTGCTTCCACAAGCAACATTATCTTAAGATATAAAAAATATTTTTTTAATAACAACCAATAAAAGTTAGTGTAGAAAAATTATTTATTATTATAGTAAATATTTTTTCTATCATCTCCGATTGAGCCAAAATTTCACCATTTTTTGGCTTTGGGGTGTGATGGAATAAATCAAAATGGATCTCCAAACTGTCTACGCTTCTTTAATTAATGAAATAGCAGTTAGTCAAGCAATGCAAGTTTCGACGTTGAGTCGGGGGTCTCTTTGGAAACAACATATCTACTTTCGAGTAGGGGTAAAATCTGCGTACACATACCCTTCCCAGACTCTACTCTTGTGGAATTTAACTGGGTTGTTGTTGTTGTATCATAGTAAATATGAATAAATTGTTTACGGTATTGGTTTGATGACGTCGCACTGCACTGTAGGGACAATTTAAGTGCCAAATATTTGTATGCTGAGCTCTTTCAACTAAAGATGCTGTTAGGATCATAAAAACCAACTATAAAAGAGAAGTTTTTAATTAAATACTCCCCTCGTTCCGCAGTTTGCGGCACACTACATGATTTCAAAATCAGGGTACCTTTTATCTATTTATATATTTTTATTGATAACTTTATCAATTAAATTACTCTTATCAACTCTTGTTATATACTCCCTCCGTCCCAAAAAATCTTTCCTGTTTCATTTTTTGCGCATCCCATAAAACACTTTTACCGACATCTAAAATGCCTAAAATTTACAACATTTCTTTTTTATTGTGGGTAGAAGTTATTTTGAAAGTTTTTTTGGCATTCAAGGCGGGATAGAAGTGTTTTTTGGGATGCGCAAAAAATGAAACAGAAAATACTTTTTGGGACTGAGGGAGTACAAATTACAACTTTTAACATAGTTTATAAATATGTAATTTTATTTTTATTTATATAATAATTTTTAAATAAATAAATTGAAAAAAATTAGATGCCTCTTGACTTGGCTTTCATCCATCTCGCTACTTAGGGAGGAGAGTATCATAATTTATAACCTTTGAAAATTAGAGTCAATCTGTGTTTTGACCATTGCAAATTTAAAAAAAGTCTTCTTATAAAAATCAACCCTGTAAGAGAACTTTACCTAAATAGTACTCTCTCTGTCCCATAAAGATAGGGACGGTTTGATTAAAATGATAAAATAAGGAGGGGTAATTTTGTGTTGACTTTCCAAAAATATCCTTGATGTGACGGGTAAAAGTAGGATGTGATGTGTAGATTATTAAGAAAAATGCATGATGTGATAGATAAGATTTGAAAAAATAAGGAGTAAAAGTGGTTTTTAATAGAAATGAAAATGACTTTTATGGACACGATTTTTTTGAAACGTAAAAGAATTTATGGGACGGAGGGATTACTAAAACATAGTGACTTTTCCAAAGTGGTACCATATGTTTTTATTTTCCGAATGTATTATCACTGGTCATTGTTCAATGATTATTGTTCAAAAATAATAATCCAAGGATTATTATTTTTCTTTTACGTTTCTTTTGAAACGTAAAAGAAAAATGCATGATTAAATACTACATTGGAAAATGACTAATATTTTAGTATTATTTAGTATAATTTTCACTCATAAAAAAATTTCAAACAATCCAAATAAAAAAGACCCAATTTGTCTCACAAGGTTTGAAATTAATGCCCACTTTGCCTGCTGCAAGATTAATTACGGAGCATTAAATACTTACTTTACAGCCATTTACCTAGTTAATATCGGTTACAACTTTTCATTTTTTTTCTTTAAGTTATCAAATAATATTGTGATTTTTTTTTAAAATTTCTGATTATAATGGGATTCAATGTTTCATGTGCAGGATTTAAATATTGGTGACATTGTGTTTTTCAAATAATACGTACTTTTATTCATATGTAATCGGCAACGTTTATTTGCTGCTAGCTACTCTACAATGTTTTCGCGTTTTCGAATAGAAAAAATCAGAGTATTTATCTCGGTATCCTATAGTCTAATTAAATATAGTTCAATTTATTATTATTATTATTATCACTATTATTATTATTCAATATTATTATTAATATTATTAGATATTCATAAATAAATATAATGTTGTTATATACATAATATTTGTTTTTGGATGGTACAGTATAATGCTGAGTATTATGGAATGAAGAAAATATTAGAAAATTACTCTGGGGTATTAAGATTCATGGTGCACATGCAGATGATGTTTGTAAGAGCATCTCCAACCATAACAAAATGACTTGCTGTATGTTATAATTTGACAAGCATATACAAAATTTCATGCTCCAAGGGGTTATTTAAAATTTCACTATATCAAAAGTGACTACTATAATGAGCATTTTCATTTTATTTTATTTTTTAACAAAAAAGAAAGAAAAAACTTCTGGCGAAAGTCTACAACAATTTGAAGGTCTAAGAAAAATTGGTGGACTTTAAATGCACTATAGACGACAAAAATGCACTATAATACGGGTAAAAGGACACTTTTATTTTAGACGACAGAAATACATTGTTTTTATACTAAAGTGTTTCTATATATAGAAACACTTTAGTATAAAAACAATGTATTTCTGTCGTCTAAAATAAAAGTGTCATTTTACCCGTATTATTTCTTAATCTATTCAACTTCTCTATCAATATTTTTTTTTTATCTGATAATTTAATATCATTATATCACCTCTTATTTTGTAGAAATATTGATATTACATTTTAAAAATATACTGTTAAGTTTTTTTAATTTGACCTAAACTCTCAAATAAATTAAATTAAAAATAATTTCTTTAAGAAATTATAAATTGAAATGGATAATTTAAGTGGGGTGGACGGAAGAAATAAGGATTTTTTTCATTAGTCAAAAGAAATAAAGTTTTGAAGTTATTTTTGTTGTTGATTTGGTATTCCAAAAATAAGAATACATTTGATATTTAATCTAATGATCAGTTATAAGAGCTTCTCCTTTGGCTTGACCTGTATAAAAACTTATTTTACAAGATTTACGAAGAAGCTCACCCATATTCCAATCCCAAGTGAGACAGAGAAATTAATTCATTGTACATACGTTATTAAATTAAAAAACTATGAACAAATCTTTCCAACGGCCAATCATACGGTCGACCATTCTGTTGAAACAATTCAACGTTTGGACCATCGTATAACCAACGTGGGAAACAAAAATCAATTTGATAAATTACTCATAACTTGTTCATTATAATACTTATCGGATTTGAATAATTCAAACACCGATGATCTTGTATTGAGAAGAGCTATAACTTTTGTTTATTATTTTTCGAAAATACAGAAATATAATTTTTGAAAATAATTACCAAATTTATTTTACAAAAGTAAATACCCAAAAATTCTTTGTGTGTGTGTGCAAAATTAAGCTTGAGCTTAGAGATACACCATTCATACTCCCATGTGAGCAAACGTATAAACCAACACGTTTTAGTGGGTTTTGATGTTCCTACACAATTAAAAAACATTAGTTCAATTAAATTATTTGTTAATATCAAAACGTTTTAGTGGTCCATCATCTCCGATGGAGCCAAAATTTCACCATTTTTGGCTTTGGGGTGTGATGGAATAAATCAAAATGGATCTCTAAACTGTCTGCGCTTCTTTAATTAATGAAGTAGCAGTTAGTCAAGCAATGCAACTTTCGACGTTAAGCCGGGGGTCTCTTTGAAAATAGCCTCTCTACTTTCGAGTAGGGGCAAGGTCTGCATACACACACCCTCCCCAGACCCTACTCTTGTGGGATTTAATTGGATTATTGTTGTTGTTTTATCAAAACAAGAGATTAAGCATATATACAAAGGCTAACATTAGGTCAATTGTTCTTATCATCCATTCCATATTTCATGCAAAACCAACATTTTTTCAGTTTAAAGTTGTAAAGTTATTTTCAAATCAATAAATATAAGATTTGAAGTTAAATTAAAAAAAAATTTACATATTTAAATATTACTTTGAAAATTATACAAACAAGTGATGACATGATTATATTTTTTATCAAACGACTAACGAAAATTGGTAAAAAAAATAATGTTGAGGCGGAGAGAGTATTTCGCATATGCTTTCTACACATGATTGTGCAAATCCATATTTTCAAGAGCAAGTTATCAAGTTTTATTGGAACATGGAATTAGGGCCATGTTTAGAAGTAGGTTGTCATATGTTGTTATGAATGTCTTTTTAGTTTAAGTGGTTTGATTTCGATCATATATTAAAAATTATTTGATAAGATTAGCTATTTTCAAATGGTTCTTTTAAGATTTAAAATTAAAAAATACTCCCTCCGTTCCCAAATAAACTTCTCTTTCGTTTTTTCTTTGTCACCAAATAAACTTCTCTTTTTCCTTAAAAACCTCTTTTACCCCTTACTTTTTCATACCCTACCTATCACATCATACCTTTTTACTAATAATTTACATATCACATTTTACTTTTACACTTCACTTCAAGAGTATTTTTGGAAAGTTAACACAAAAATATTCCTCCTTTAAATCCTCAAAAAGTCAAAAAGAGAAATTTATTTAGGAACAAAGACAATACTTCGTATATAGAAATTTAATGCATATTACACACATAGACACGTACATTATTTGTAACCAAATAAATGCTATACTACGCTTTTCATTTTTGTTCTTGTAAAAGTTAACGCTTCATTTGGATAAGAGGAACAAACTAAAAGAAAGAAAATGACGGGGGAAAATGAAGAGAAGAGAAAATAGAAAAAAACGTACAAATGGTGTTTGAATGAGTAAAAATGAAGAAAAAAAAGTTAGAGAAAATGTGGAGAAAGAAAGAAAAAAAATAGATGAAGCTAATCCCTTAAATTTATTCTCCCAATTTTCTTTTCATCATCCAAACAAATCTAGTGGACAAAAATCTAGAAAATTTTTGACAAGAACAAAACATGAACGGTTTCACTGATGATAGCAAACAAAAACAACATAATGACTTCATTTGGTCTGGTTTTTGGTGCGGCAAAATTGACATCATCATCATTAAACATCCGAAAAATGTTCAATACACATAATTACATCATTATACGATCTTAATTTATAATTACCTCCAACATCATCATATATATATATATATCCTAATCCTAATAAGTAATAATAACAACGTAACGGACTCTTTCAAAGAATACCAGAGGCATTGTGTTATATTATGACATCAACTCTTTTGATGGAGCCATTAAAGAATGTCATCTCTCATTTTCCCGAGATTACCCTCTCCCCCTTCACCCCTTTCTACAGATTTGTCTCCTTAATCCGGGACACTTTCGACTAGGGGTGGGCAATCGGGTCCAGAAACCGCGAGTCGGAACCGGACCTCTAGGTTCGGTCCGAGTTAGGTCCGGGTCGTCTTTTCAAAAATTTAAAACGGTCCGGGTCGGTCCGGTCCTCATAGATTTTAGAGTCGGCCCGGTTCCCCATTTTGTAATTTTTTAGGACCCGCACCGGATCGTTTTTTTAAATACTAATATTATTTTTAATATTATTTTTAGTAAATATAATTAAGGATATACGGTATACCCGCCTATTCCAATTAATTTTAGTAAATCTTGGTACAAACATGTCCCGAAGTACTTTATGAAATGAGTGAGGAACTGGATAGTGGACTTCATATCATCTCTTGGTACCAAACATGTCAAAGTACTTCATATTAATATTTGTGCCCGAGCTCTAGGAACTGGACAGTGGACGTGTGGCGCAATTATTCACACCATCCAATTACCCTTTGAACTTTGAACTTTGAAGGCATTATTCTATAATTTATATTTGTTTTGGAGAATGTTAGTATCATGATAGGTTCGGACCCGTTGATCCGTGGAATCGGACCGTTTCAAACAAGCGGGGTTAGGTCCGGTTCCAATTTTAAAATTTTGAAAACCCGTTCCGGTCCGGATCGTTTTAATAAAAACAAGCCATTGGCTCGCACCGGCCCGTGCCACCCCTACTTTCGACAATGAATTAAACTTCTTTGGGATAACTCCAATTTTCGCTGCCCCCACCCATCCCGGCCCTTTCGCCGGCCGCCGGATTCTGCCGGCGCCCCCCTTGGCCTTCACGATTCCAAAATAGCTCAAAAGCGTTTGGTGTCATAATATAACATTGCGCCGTGAGTGTCATTTGAACACTTTTGAAAAAATAATTTACCTTAGAATTTTGATCTAATCAAACACAAAATCGTACGTCCGCGTCCCATGTACATGCCAAAAAGTCCTCATCGGCTCCAAAATCCATCGGAATATCGTCCAAACTCTCGCCAATCTCAGCCTCCGCCGGCAATATTATCATTTCCCCCGTCTGGTAATCCGGCAACAACGACGGCGACCAGGAATCCAACAGCCCGTCTAGGCCATCTAAGAAGCAATGATCGGTTCCGAATTCGCCGCCGCATGCCGCTAAAACGGAAGTGGGAGACGGGTTGATTTCGGAGTCTCCGGTGGAGTCGTAGTCGGAGTGTGACGCGGGGGCGGACCTCGGCGGCGGAGTCGAGAAATTGGTCGTGGCGTCCGGGCCGCGCAACTGGATCGCGGCTGCGTCGTAAACATGAGCGGCCTCCTCGGCCGTGTCGAACGTGCCTAACCATTTCCGGGTTTTCCGAATCGGATCCCGAATCTCCGCCGCCCATTTCCCCCATGGCCGGCGCCGCACTCCCCTGAACTTCCGATGATCTCCCGTCATGGCTGCCGCCTCCGCCGCCGGCTTCTTCCCCCTCTTGTTGCTCTTCCCGTCAACAGAAGCAACGCTCTTCTTCCTCTCTAGCCTGACCTCGCTCACGTGCTTCTTGGCGGTCCGCCGGAAAACACCGTCCTCCTCCCCACCATCATCATCAGACGAAGAGTCGGTGGCGTCGTCATCCGTCACGGAAATCCTTATGACCCGAGGCATATTGTAGCCGAATCGTCCATTTTCTAGCTTCTTCACAGTGACACTCTTCTCAACTCTGCATTTAACTAGAAGAGAATTACTATTATCTTCCATTGTCATCCT